ATTAATTGCCGCGCGAAAGGAGCGGTCGGGCCAACACCGTGAAAGCGCGATTTTGTCTTACTTAATTCATTGTTTTTTTTTTCTTCCCTTGCACAACCGCGCGACTTCGCACTTCGTCGTCTTACGACAGTCTCTGGTCCGTCACCCATCCCGCCCGGCATAATGAATGCGCCCGTGTCCGCGAGGGCGTCGTTACACAGTCGTGTTATACGCCCGCTCTAAATGACACGACCGAGCTAGCACGACATTGCCTCATCGCCTCATTGTCATCCTCACGTTGCAGGCATCCTCGTGACGACAGTTCCTGTCGGCCACGCAAGTAGACTCTCTTGGATGTTTTCGACATTTAGATCCTCTTTGGATACTTTCCGGCAAGCCCCGACGCCACGCGCCAAAGCGATGAATAACGTGTCCCATTCGTATAATCTTTTCCACAAGAAAGCGTACAGCCTTAATTCCAAGACGCTCCAAGACTGTACCTCTTGTTAAAGTCGATATTCTCATAATGAGTGCGAAGTATATGAAGCTTCGAGGTAGTGTTTTAAGTTTTGCACGCAAAAGAATTGAAATTAATGCCAAATTAATGCTCAGGCTTCAAAATGGTTTAGGAAGTCAGTCATTCGTTCAGAAGTTGGTGGAGCGGTACAAGGAAGTAGGGAATGTTGACAACCTGCCCGAAAGAGGTTTAACCCGTTAATCATTCGTCCGTTTGAACGAAACCTTATCTTAACATTGCGCTACGTTCGGGATCAGTTTCGTGGGAAGGGTATGAACGTTAGAATAAACATTGGAAATGAGTGGATCCGTTACTAAGTAATCGTGCAATATTTCTTTTAGTTTATTTTCACGTACAGTCATCTTTTTCTAATTTATATATTCTCAACACGCTGCCGTATATTTCCTTATGGAAAAGATTGTACATACGATGAGTCGTCGGTTGGCTCGTCCGACCGACCGACAACCTGTCCGCCGGAGAATTTTTATTCGTGCCAACCGAACGAAACGACATGACTTAGGCGGTCGAACTGTAATAAGTCGCTATTTCGTCGGCGAGCTGAAAATTTTCGCGGAATCGGTATTACGCGCGCCCGTAGTGGCGAAACGCGGTGCGGTGGTGCGCGCCGCGACTTTCATCGGGGTATAAATCATTCGGCAGTCGGAACGGTATTTCTCGTGGTGCATTATCGGCGATACGGTTAACCGGGCCGGAAAACGCCCGTACTGGCTTCGACGATATCCACCGAGATCGACACTACCCAACTCGGACGGAGCCGGGAATTCGTAGTCCAACGTGCCCGTTACGTCAACCCGGCTCCGTATAACGATGCCAATGGAATAGAAAAAGCCAAAAAAAAAGAAGATTAACGAGCGCTCCGTGCGCTGTACCGCGATGCAATTGCGTGGGACTCGAAATGCGAGCGATTGCGGAGCAGAATGCGTTAAGTCATCCAGGTGGTCATAGAATAAATCACGGGGTGAAACGACTTAGAGTGACTTAACTCCTTTACGTCGTCGGAAAGAAACTCGCTATCACGAGAAACATGAGAGCCGCAGACCAATGGAAAAATAATTTATATAACTTTTTTATTCTTGGGAAAGATGTTTTGCCGAACGCTTGATTTACAGGTTTGAGGTTTAACTTTGTCAATAGAAAGATTATCTTCGAAATTACGCTGCAATGTATAACCTTACAATTACGAAATTTCACCGCATTGTATAAACCTTGGTAGAAATGTATATAGTTTTCTTAAACATTCACCCAGTTACTGTCTAATATTAACAGTTACTATCTAATATAAATGTCTAATATAAAATTAATTAATAACATTCTCATTAGTTATAATATTGCGTAGGAAATGGAGGAATAAGAATTTGATAGAGTTTTATTCAGGAACACTTCTAAAATAAAACTGTCTATTTCATGAGCAGCAAGCTTGCTTATTAATCAGTTGACTAGTTTTTTGTCTATTTATTATTATATTATTTATTATTCTTTTTTGTTCAGTAAATGGATTCAGATCTTGCGCATTTTTTTGCACAATAATTGCAGGATAAGTGTTACACTTTAATTGGGATTCAAACAGTTTTATTCTTCAGTTATAAGGACAAAAGTTAATAAACTGTTCAATAACTGCTCGAGAAATGCATAAAATTTCTATCAGGAAATGAATTAACGTACACGGAGAAAAAAATATTGCAGTAAAAATTATCACAAAATTTTATAATGTTCGACCATATCGGAATTACTATGATTGAAATTATGATGTGTGTTGTAATCTTTAGTGATGTATGTGTTACAAACCTTTGTAGTAATTTTTGATTTTTAATAATTTACAATATTTTCTTCCTGTGCGCGTCTTCGTTTGTACTTCATAAAGTATTCGCATGATACATATTCCAAGTTGCCAGTATCGCGAGAATCTCACGCGATTGCTTCATCGACTGTCTCGAGGAGACAATCCGCGAAATCGTTACGACGAAAGAAAGCGGCATACAAAAAAGTTTAGCGGAATAGTTTCGCCTGAATGCAAAGACAGGAGATGTCGGTGCCACCGCAGCGCGCAGAAGAGCGGCACAATGTTGCGTTCCGGTAATAATCGCGTCGAGCTCCTGTCGTAATTATGGGAAATTACGGTTCCCTTTATTGCGAAGAAGGTCATAAATTTACTATCAACCCGCGTATTCGCGACTAGAATCGAAATTTTAGTCCTACTTTAAGTCTAATTTAGTCTACATTAAGTGTTCAAAGCTCTTTTATTATGTTCCTTTGTTATAAATGGGGAAGTTATTATGGAGTCGTTTTCATTTGAAAATTTAAGATAGAACTAAAATTTAGACTCTAGAGGACTAGATTCCTTTGGTAACACTAAAAGAGCACTTATCGTGCGAACTTATTTCCGTTTTTTTCCACTTGAAGATTTAATATAGAATTTCAAATTTCGATTCAGAGATTTTTCGCATAAGTCGTGAAATGCAGCATAAGGCGCCGTGCATTCGAAATATCGCGCGCGTTCGATGGAGAAATTAGATATACGATGTAATTTACCACGTGCGATGTAATTTGCCACGTGTAATTTACATTTCGGAAGAAACACAGAAGACGTAACATATAATGTCAGAGGTAATTGCAAACTCACTCTTTCGGAACATTGTTTAACTACAGAACTAACGCAATACCAGAAAGCCCATAGCTCTCCTAAATCTTCCGCATGTGATATTAGGCAGAACGTTATCGCGTCGTTCTTCATCGTGGACTTATCCGAACGAGCCTCGCGATCAACCGGTATAAAGCATGAAATATTACGTTACACATATTTGAAAAATCCCCTGAGATAAATCTCAGCCGGCCGTGGCTGATCTTTACTAATAGCGCATTCTACCGCGGCATACCGTTGCTGACTTCAAACGTGACTACAATGCGCAAGCGGTTTTCTCTGTTTTTTCCTCCGATATGGATCGAGGAATTGCGTGTTGAAGGAGTCGATCCTTTCATTACGCAATGGCAGATCGTTACCGATTGACGGCGGAAAATGCGTAAGCTAATTTAAACCATCATTTTTCTTACGTGATATCGTTGTTTCTATGAGAGAAAGCCTCGTTATTTTGACGCATAAAGTCTGGAAACTCGAGTCTACAGCTAAGAGCCTTATTCGGGGTTGCTACAAAGAGAAAACTTGGAATAGTTAGAGAAAGATATAAAGGAACCTTGGAATTTTGAACTTTTCTCTCACAATTCCTTTATATATAAATACTCTTATTTTAAAGAATACTTATAATTTTTTAAATATCTTCTAATAATATAAGCCACATTTTCTGCGATCCCTGTTTCTAAACATACAAATTTAAGATTATTTATTGATTATAGACAATTCTCCATTGTCATGTGGAAAACATGAAAAAGTCAGGGAATTTCAAAATTAATTTTCTATGGCAACCCTGTTTATTTTTGTCCCCGCAAATTGAATATTGCAACTTTGTATATTTTTAGCAGATGATCTGAACTAAAAAGTTACATAAGAAAGTTACGTAAACGGTTTTCGATTTTCTTGATTGGATCGACCTTTTCATCTTTCACGCTTACCGACGTTCTACTGATCGCTTTTATTCCAACGGTACCGTTCGTTAAGGTCTATCGATCAATTTCATCCGCCACGCACATAAATTTTACACACGCCGAGTTATCGTACTTTCACGTTTTATTTCGCATGCACTTGTTAGGCCCGATCATCGCTAACAATCAGCCTAATTCGGCTTTCTACTTCATTCGAAAATCATTTCCGCACCGCGCACGTTAATGTTGCAGAGTGCTTTTGAAAACTGCGACCGATCGAGTATCGCGCTGTTATGAGTCGCATTTGCAAGGCTAAGAAGACCGTCGTTAGGTCCCGCATATATTCGTGTCTTGAAACCATTCGATTTCGTTATGTGTGTGGCATTCCATGTATCGATAAAAATTGGGTTAACGTTGCACGTGATTGTTAGACACGTAACGAGCTGAAACGTCCCGCTTCTGCTACGTCGTATGTCTACGCGACTGATCGACGCCGCTAAGCAAAAGCAAAACGAATGTTCGTAATAATCTTGTTACGACACTACGCGCTCATAGCTGACCGACGAAATAATGACACGACAGAATAATGATAATCGCACGCCAATCGTACGAAATCCACGAATAACAAGGAACTTATTAGTCATTTCGCAAGGTTAGAAATTCGCCATGTCATAATTATAAGTATAAATGTCTGAACACGAGTCTCACACATAATCCTTTTATAATGAAATCCCAAAACTATTACTACAAATTACTTCCTGCCGTATTTGAGAGCTAACGTTATATTTAAGATATAGGTCACCAATTAATAGGCTATGCTGCTTCTTGCATTTTGCTCGCCGCATCTTCCGACCGCTCGCACTACCTCCGCTTAAAAAAAAAACAAAAAGTGTCCTAACCGATTCTCGCGAGTGATCGTTTTCACCTGAATGTCGTTTATTCACTGTAGATCAATCGACGGCGGCGGACCAATCATCTTCCTCCTCTTTCTGGTCCCCCACTCTCAAAAGCGAGGACATCTTCCCGCAGCAGGACAACAGCGCGACCTTTTTCCCTACGGCCCACGGCCTCGTGCAGACTCATCCGGCCAACAGCGCTGGCGTGTTCCGCAGCGGATTCGGCGGTATCGACAACCTCGGTAGTCGAGGGGTGACGATGAGGCCGCCGAGGACGCGACCTCTCGATTACAACGAGCGGGCGACCGCCGAATTACGCCGGAACCCGTCGCTCTCGTCGCCGGACGAGTGCGCTCGCGCCTGCCGCGAGAATGAGCCTCCCAGGATATGCTACTACCACTTCACGCTCGAGTATTACACCGTGCTCGGCGCGTAAGTGCATCACTGCGAAACGACTCGGGACGATCGATGTTGCGAAACGATTCTTCCCGCTGCGAAGTCCGTCGGTCTAATTTCGGGACCATCCCGTATACATTACAATTGTGTCGTATGGAATTTTCGTCGATTGGAAATTACATCGTGCGTTTACGCGGTCTGAAAAATAATACAAAGTAGTTTTTGGAGGAATACTTTTTCGAGTTACAAAGTAGATGTTTCTTCAACGAACAACACTCATTCTTAGCAACAGAAAGCGGTCGATGGCTTATAAGCTACCATGTACGCGTGAAAAGTTGTTTGCCCAACTTCCCTGGTTAGTGTCGGTGCAAACTTGCCGCTAATTTTCAGAGCGTGTCAGGTATGCACACCGAACGCAACCAACTCGATATGGAGCGACTGTCAATGCGTCCTGGCGGACGGCGTGGAGCGTGGTATCCTGACCGCGAACAGAATGATCCCCGGACCGAGCATCCAGGTGTGCCAGGGTGACAAAGTCGTAGTCGACGTGGAAAATCACATGGAGGGAATGGAAGTCACTCTTCACTGGCACGGTGTCTGGCAACGGGGGTCTCAGTATTACGATGGTGTGCCTTACGTGACGCAGTGCCCCATTCAGGAGGGTAACACGTTCAGGTACAGATAGGAGAGATCTTACTTTCCGAATTAAAAGGATCAAATTCATTCTCATCCCCATACACGCCGTAATCGTTTATTTCACGCCAATGCATAAATCTCTAGCACACGCTTTTCCATTCAAGGATATTTCGTCGGGAAAGAATTCACGGTGAAACTTAAAATAACTGAAACATAAAAATGAGATATAATTTCGAAAAAAATAATTTAGATCATTTACCGTCATTTTGACGTGACGTCTAATAACAGAGATTACTGGAATACGTTTGCTCAGAGGCATTTGAAAATTCGGACTTTCCATTTGATGCGGCATTTTATGTGCGGCAAACTAACACACGCATGACGACGTTTCATAATTTATAAAGTGAAATGGTTGTGTATGATGTATAAAGATATCAGTGGACGGCGGGCAACGAAGGTACGCATTTCTGGCATGCTCACACCGGCATGCAAAAGATCGACGGTCTTTACGGAAGCATAGTGATTCGACAGCCGCCGAGCAAGGATCCTAACAGCAATCTATACGATTACGATTTAACTACGCATGTGGTGCTCATCAGTGATTGGTTCCACGAGAGCGCTATCGAGCGTTATCCTGGTCGACTCGCGGTCAACACTGGTCAAGCGCCTGAGAGCGTGTTGATCAACGGGAAAGGTCAATTTAGGGTACGTCGATTAGAATGTTGATCGATTTTGAACAAGGAAAACGACATTATTTAATAGATCGTTACATCAAACAAGTATAACCACGCTGGAATTTATGATTTGTGGTAGAGAATTGGGAATATTCAAAGAACCTGTTTTATCAATTATAGTAATGATAATAGAATTTTCAAAAAATCCAGCGAGATTTTATCTTTTTAGAAGATAAATTCGCTATGTTTCGTTGAATGATTCGTCGATTAATTCCTGTACAGTTTTATCGATTGGTATTTCTCATTTATCAGCATATCTCATACCTTTCATTGCAGGACCCTAACACCGGTTTCATGACCAACACGCCCCTCGAAGTGTTCACGATAACTCCGGGCCGTCGTTACCGGTTCCGATTGATCAATTCATACGGATCAGTATGTCCCGCTCAAATTACTATCGAGGGTCACACGCTCACCGTTATCGCTACTGACGGTGAAGCAGTGCATCCAGTACAAGTTAACACTATAATCTCTTTCTCGGGTAAAGTGTCCGTTTTGCAAATTCTTTTCATTCATGTGTGCCAAACAGATAATTAGATGATAATTAAGAAAGTCAATTATTCGACATAATAGATCTGACAAATTCTGTTAAGGAAGATTACTCGAAGACGCGCGCTTTTGCAAAAGAAATTTTTACTAGTCTAAATAGCGAGTCCCTCGCGAGGCCGATGAAAATTTTTGATTTTATCGCTCTCACGTCAAATACATCATTTACAGTTTTACATTCCCTCGTTAGGTGAACGTTACGATTTCGTCATAAATGCCGACCAGCCAGTCGGCGCTTACTGGATCCAACTTCGATCGCTCGGAGAATGTGGAATTCCTCGAGCTCAACAGCTAGCTATCCTGCGATACGCTCGCGGTCCTTATCAACCTTCTACCGCGCCACCTACGTATGACTTCGGTCTCCCACAAGGCGTCGTAAGCATATATCTGTTTTCTACGTTAGAGTTATCTGCTTGCGATGGAACTTGAAGATGCGGTCGAACCATCCGCACGAAGTCTGTTAACGAGTATCCCGGTATAGAGTCTCATTAAGTCTCATCGCAGCATGCGCTGCCATCTGTTCGGGTACTGCAAACAGAAGAAACTGTGAAAGTGAACTATAATCTAACTTGGTTAAGTTAAATACGTACATTCTTCAATACGTAAGAGATGTTTATTCCCCAGCGTGACTCGGCACGAATCATAAAATGTAATGGCAAGATAGAGTTGGAATGTTATTTTCAATCGGTAAGATAGAGATTCTCTTAATCCTTGTCAGCTATGGAAGGAAAGACGAGTTTGGCATTTGGAAACATCACGTTTACACAAAGAACTTCTTTTATATTACGATAATAACTCTTTCTGATGGCTGGAAATATTTCTTTGCTGGAAAAAATAAGAAATATTCGGAAGGTGATATTAACTGTCATAAATAAATGCACTGAGGAAAAAGTATTTAACAATTTTTTTGTATGATATAAAATTTATATTTCACATAGATAAGGTTTAATTTTTTTTTTTTTTCACTTTTTTCTCAGTGTAATCTTGAAACGACATTTCGAAATAATATTAATTCGAAGAAAGATTTTTATGAAGAGTACCGAGTCGCGTTACAAAGTGAAATAAATGCGAATATATTGTCACAATTACAATACAGGATCGCAAATATGACAGATATTTCACGCTGATAAATTGCAAACTGTTTTTGAAAATGGTGAATGACGTTGCTTACATTAAGCGCGCCGCAAGGAGCAAATTTTCGAGCGTCTCCTCCTCAGGTTCTGAATCCGCTGGACGCCATTTGCAACCGGCCGCGCCAGGATGCGATTTGCGTGAGCCAATTGAAAAACGCCCGCCACATTGATCAGGGTATCCTTCAGCAACGCCCTGACGTGAAAATCTTCCTGCCGTTCCGTTTCCTATTCTATAGACCGGAGGAGGTCTTCCAACCGCAGACCTACAATCGCTTCCTCGGTAAGGACGCGCTAATGAGCGTAATAGCTGGTTTAACCCGCAGAGAAAAGGCAAACGCGCCACGCGATGATTGCGTTTGATTTTCGTCTGACGTCCCTTGGGTACGCTTAGAGAGGTATGCGCGGAAAGGGATACGATCGCGCGTGTTGCATGCTACATCGTCCGGCAATGCTCGAAGCACTAGGAATTACGTGAGGTACATCGCGAAGTATGTCCGTTGTAAATGGTACTGTTTATTCCTCAAGACAATTAGCTTCGATAGAGTATGGAAAACGCGGGGGCCGGCTCGTGTGTGGCATCGAAACTTAGATGGAGGATGTTTCGAAACGATATCGCCCGTATCTTGCATCTTCGTTCGTTAATTCGAAGCCGTATTTCCGTATCGAGATAAATCGACCGCGCAATTTGTCTACGAAATACACCGCAATCTTGGAGCCCGCTCAAAGATACATAGCAAGAGAGACTCAGTGTGCTACTTCGGTGTGTGTTCGCAGTTGCGCCGACCGGCGACCATGTAATTTCTCTCGTTGACGAGATCTCGTTCACGTTCCCTCCGGCGCCTCCGCTCTCGCAAATCGATGACATTCCACCTGAACAATTCTGCAACGGTGATAACAGACCGGCCGACTGCGGTGCCAACTGCATGTGTACGCACCAGGTCGACATTCCGCATAACGCGGTCGTCGAGGTGGTTCTCGTTGATGAAGGTATGTGTCGCGCGCGTATCGTCGCCAGAACGACTATTATCACCGGTGACAATTGATGGTACCCCACGCTCTTTTTGTGTGAGATTTTCAGGACCGAATTGAATTAAAAAATATGTTCCGAGGAAACTCAAGTTAGGAAGCAAGGTCTCTGAAAACAGATTTTTACGCTCGCTGACTTAAACGCAATATATTCTTTTTTAATGATTATTCAAACGTTTGATCTCACATTGACCACGTCGGTCTGATGAAATTAAACATCATCGAACCCTTCGCCTGCGATTACAGTACAACAACCAAACTTGTCGCATCCGTTCCACTTGCACGGATACGCGTTCAACGTGGTCGGTATCGGCCGTTCTCCCGACAAAAACGTGAAGAAGATCAACCTGAAACACGCCCTGGACCTCGACAAACGCGGCCTCTTGCACAGACAGTTCGACTTGCCCCCTGCTAAGGACACTATTGCCGTTCCCAACAACGGCTACGTCATCTTCCGGTTCCGCGCGGATAATCCGGGTAAGTTAACAACGACAATTGCGAGAACTTTTCGCGCGCGCGGTAGTCCGATGAGATGCAAACTGCCTCCGCTCGCAGCTGCTCGCGTAATAGCGAAAGTTTGCGCGGCGCATCTGCATACGCCGATTATTTCACTACACCGTGTGTAAAATGTCACAACTAATGGACACTTCCTGTCGACCGCAGATTTCTCGGCGAACTTGATACTTCTCTTGAGTAAACATCTTGTTAAACGTGACGAGCTATTAGCATTTCCTTCGCTTTAACGAGAATGCAGTAAGGTCTGCGATTTTGACTTCGCGAACGTGACTTCAAACCTCCTTTGCAGGATACTGGCTGTTCCACTGCCACTTCTTGTTCCACATACTAATCGGTATGAATCTGATCCTGCACGTGGGGACACACGGGGACCTGCCGCCGATACCGCCCAACTTCCCGACCTGCGGCGACCACTTGCCACCCATCACGCCGCCGCTGTCGCTGGGCACCACCGCGTATCACTGATGCGCGAACGCGAGCGACCAGCTCGGAGAGACCGAGAAGACGCTCCAAAGTTCATACGATACTTGTAGCATATTTCTGTAAAGTAACGCGCGAGCTTGTAACGTTTCCCTTCATCGCTCTTCTCAGCTCCTCGACCTGATCGGTCGTCCTCGAAAGCGCGCTCGGCGATCGATCGGGGCGAGGAGTCCGAGGGATGTTGACCCGTTGCCTCGCGAGAGGACAAGGTGCAGAAGGAATCGAATGACTTTGGGGAGAGATTCTCGCGAGGCGACGGATCAACAGGAGGCGGTCGACGTCCCGCTGGACGTCGCGAAACGACGAACATTCACAGAGGCGATGATGACTTCACGTTGGCGACAGTCGATAATTTATTGTGTTCCAGATGCTTCACCCGCCGTTGTGTGACACTCACGTTGCGTGTTTTACCCCTTTTGTTATTCCGAAAGCAGCCGACTGCCCGCTGCGAGTCCCGTAGAGCGCGGATATATTCAGGTGCAGCGTTCGTCCTCCCATCGAGAGCGTACCGCGAACGTACCGTCGCTTAGACGGCTGCGAGAGGATGATTCGAAGAGATTTCGGCGGATATTTACGCTGTACGGGAAGCACGGATGGCGACCGCGAACCCTCTTGTGACGAGTGAAGCATCTCAGCTGGAAACGTACGAACGTTTCTGATTAACGTTTGCAATGCTGTAAATAATGTAGAAATAGTCACTACAGTTAACGAGATATTAATGTGGGAGTAATGGGATAGGTAGCTAGGTAGGTAGCGTAAGAGAGGAAGAGATCCATGACCGTCCGAGAGATTTTCATCGTGACCGGCGGTCCGATCGATGGATTATCATTATCAGAGTAACGTTCTTCGAGAGGAGGCTGGATCTGCGCGAACGTGGAATCCACAATTTTCGAAATTATTCAAGGACTATCTCGTTATATCAGGCGATACGAATCAACATCTACAAAGAAAAAAGATCTTAAACACGATCTTTCGCATGAGCATAGAGAAGTAATATTTATTTAAATCATTATCATTCCCGGCTCCCCATTTATCATAGATGGCTTCATTTCGCTTCCTCCGATATATCAATCGTTTCAGTCATCTTCGCCATTTCTTCGTCAAACGCTTCATTTTCGTTCGTTCGTTCGTTCGTTGTTCTGTGGCCGGAAGAGATGCAATAACTTTTCGCGTTGTAGCGGTAAAAATAAGTAGTAAAAAAAAAACAGTAAAAATAAATAGTAAAAAATGTAATATATGCAAGTATTTTTGCTACGCTAAAATATGTCAGCAATGTTGATTGCAGGTGGCAGTGGATTTCCCTCGGCAGATCCAGGCTACTGAAACAACTTTTTAGTTAGAGAGTAAATTCGCGCTTGTGTCGCGAAACAGCGCGAGCTCCACGCACTTTGGCTCTTGTTTCGACAGCCTAAAGTTGCAATAAATTTTACATTACATTAAGACTTACGTTAAAACTTACTACATTAAATGGAAGTATCAGGGTAAAATTGTGTGCCTCTCGATTATCGAAGTTCCACGAGACGATCCAAAGGGATATCGAGACAATTTCGAGACAATTACCGACACAAATCTGCATGGATTCATACGTTAACACGCTTATTTTGGATTTCTAATTTAAATCGCCTCTCGAATCTGGCCCTCCCCCTTTAATTTAAAGTTCCGTGGCGATTCAATCGTAGGTAGGCTGACACGTTATCGTTAACGCAACGCGATTAATACAACGCGCCATTCTCGGCGCGACAATAGCTGTATGTTTATTCATGGTGCCTCCATTTTCTATGGAAAATACTCTACGTTTATATGCAACTCACAATTAACGCTTAATTCATTTGATCATATCCACGCATATACACACAACTAACATACACAAGTCCATATATATATGTGTGTGTGCGTGTGTGTGTGTTGTGTGTGCCTGTGTGTTTGTGTGTTGTGTGTGTGTAATATATATATATATATATATATTACACATAGATACACGAGATGATCGCACACGTGTGTGTGTGTGTGTCGTGCCTTATAACTGTAGATAAAATCCCGATTCATTTCTCGAAATATGTTCGTCGGAATCACCGAAACACGAAACACTCAGTAGCATAATCGTCCAATCCGCTAACGAGCGCGATTCGATGGCTCAGTGCAAAAGAGACGCGCGAAATATTAGCTTTCTCATTTGGCATCATCAACGAAAGGAACTTTCATTAAGGTCGGGACTTTTTGTCATACCCGTCGTTATTAAAGTTTTATTGCTAGAATAAATCGTAACATGAAAATATTATTTAAAACCTAGTTATACAAATTATATACTTGTCAAGATACAATGAAATGCATTTTTCTCTCACTCATAATCGCGATTTAAAAAAAATACTAGATGATATTAGTCTTTCCTACGACACCTTTTTGTGCTAAGCCGCCGAATTACGCGCGAAAGACGCAAAGCGTCAGTTGTTAATTGTCACTTTCTCGAGTTGGCCGCTCGCTTTGGCGCTTCGACGAGGAGAACGTTCCCAGGATCAAGGTTTTAAATATGACGCGAACGGAAGGAAGCAATTTTGCGATTTTGCAGCAAACCCCGTCAAGCATACGTTTCCTCGATCGAAGCGATCGTCGACGGTCGGCTTCGCAGACTGCGACGGTACACTTCGGTCTACTCAATCTGATACGGATAATGGTTTTGTGGGATAGCAATTATACGCTGTTTTAATACTCTCATTTTTTTTACTCTTAGTAAGAATAGTTTGCAAGCTAGGGGAAGACATACCTGCCGTTTAATTGATTGTAACGAGCGAGCGCGTCAGTTCTGCGTTTTCTCACGAGCGAATCGGAAATATAGTGATTCCGTCGTCGACGATCAATCACGATTTCAAAGCACTCGCAGAGTGTTCACAGTGCAGAGCAGTAAAGGATATTTAAACCGAGCTAGTTAATTCTCGGTTCTGAGATAAATCATGATACTATCGTATTGTTGCGCGCATTGAAGATAATCAGATTAATTAGCACGCTTTCGATGATTAACCCGATGTAATTATTATAAAATCGTGAGAATGATAATGTAATTTGTTATTTAATGGATATGATGAAATCACGATGATGCGATCGATTATACTGTTCGAAAACCCGGCGGTGACGCATATAATGAGCGTAATGTCGCAACTGTCGTCACTCCGATTGACTTCTCCGGCAGGTACCATCAATCGTTGTTGTAAATATTGTAATACTGAAAATTCTCCAGTATTCCTGTAGCTAGTAATATCAGTTCTCCTTCTCCCTCCCTGCATAATTACTTTGCGTGACTAAACCCGTATACATATTGGCAGTTACCATTCATAAGCGAATGAGTTTTCGTGTTTTACATAGAATGTTTAAACGAGAGTTACACACTCGAGCAGGCGTACGCACATGCGAGCCTGCTACCGCGAGTCACTCGTTCGTATTTTATTCTAAAAATGTATTTTTAATAATAAATCGTTTTTAAAAATACCGATCCCGCATCTGATGCGTTCCCATATCACGGACCATCGTCGCCGCGTCATTGCTCCTTCTGGAGAAAGCTTTTGGAGAAATCTACTCGCACGATTCTCACGTAAACGAGCGTAGAATTCTCCTTCGCTATAAAAACCGGCCAATTTGTACTTCGTAAAGCGGGCCGTAATAAGCGTGTTTTACAAAGAGGATATAATTATTCCGACATGTCGTAGTCCGCGCGCGCGCGCGCTCAGAATAAGAAGTCGGAAGGTCACGAAGGTAGTTGGTTACGAAAGTAACGAGAAAAAGCCGCTGGAAAAATGAAAACGAAAACAAGATGCAGTCCGTAATGGGAATTATTGTGATTAGCGTTGATGGTGGTCAAACGGCGGTACTTTCACTCGGCAAATGCGGATGGGACAACATTATTCTTGTCGTGTCACCGCAAGAAATTATGACGTTACGCGAAGGTGAGCATTATCGTTTCGTCGCAGACTATCTTCTAAAAAAAAGGGGAGGGGGGAAACACATACGCATATATACACATATATATAATCACATAAACAATTAGCAAATTAGTTAACCGTGCAATTCGAAATTACAGACGACTGATCATTAATGAGGCGTGAACTATTTCGTAAAATAAAATCGCAGTCGGGCCGACATTACGAAGACGCGAGCGCAAACGCCGCGCCGCGAGATCCATAATTAGATTATTATTATCGAGAAAGCGAAAGGTGGCAACGATGTTCTAGAAAAAAGAAAAAGAAATTACGAAACGTAACGCTGCGTCTTCTCCGACGTGAATAATGAGAACGTGAGCGGCGCGTTACCTCTCGTTGCGAAGATCATATTCGAAGGACGACAATGCGATACGTCTCGCGCCGTCTAAACCGCAGAGAGTGTTCGAAAACGGCAGAAATAAAAGGCGCACACCTTGTTTTTCGATTAATGGATTTATGTACAAAAAGCATTTAACTAGTCATACCTTAATTAAGATCAAAATGTTCCGCAGTTTCGTAGATGCTAGTGTGCCTATAGCTTATGACTATTATATTATGATACATACGCAGTCTAGCACGAGAATCGCGTCTCACGAATGATAAGGCTAGGTATAAAAGTTCCGACGTATAGAATGCATGCAGTGTTTTTATATAATAATCGTGCTTACGTATAGAAAGTTTTATCTCGTTAATATACTTGGTCCGCGTTTCTCGAATTAATCACATTGCTTATTGTCGTCGATATCGTTAAACAAGATGCGAGATTATCGGGTAAATTTTCCCGCGGAAAATTACAACGAATGATACGATAAACGCGGCGGTGTTGTGTAATTGTATCCTTTCGAGGCGTGAACTTCGCGATTGTCGCGAAGTATAAATCGCAGGTCCGTAATTGAGGTATCGAATTTCACATACTGACATTTTCTTGATCGTTTACGTATTTTCGCGGCACACGTTGCATACAATACACATACCGTCCATCACAGACACCCCATTATGCATTGACCAATATTTCCAGTCCATCAATTACGAGTGCAATCTGGTTTCCACATGCCGTCTGTCATTAATTTGATATATTTGAATACTAAAGCGACGAGATAGATTATTCAAATATAAGTGTACGTAATTGCGGTAGGCGCCTGTTTCCGGCTACGAGAGAAATGCCCGGTAAATTCATTCGTCGAATAGCACGCGATCAAGAAAGCGTCGATACGTCGTTCAAAACATCGTCTCGACGGCGTGATAACGTCTCCTCGGGTTGCGTCGGTGATTTCACGCTCGAACCGAAACCGCCTGCCATTCGTGCGATCGTATATGGGCCGTAACGGCGCGTAAGGATTCGTGTTTAATTAAAGTAACGTTAATGGAGATAACGCAGAGTTCTAGGTTGTTTTTTTTTTTTTCGACAAACGTTAAAACAGGCATCACTTCCCGGAGTAGTGCGAGCCGATGTTGGACGGCGGTCCTCTGTGATGATGATGGTGCTTCTGGCCGGGGCCGGAGTATCGGCTGCCCGGTCGGGAGTGCACTATCGCGTAGTGATCGCTGTTGGTCGATATCGACCTCGTGGAGTTCATGGTGGATCCCCCGGAGGCGTATCCCTGCTTTCCGTTTAACGAATACCTGGGCAGAAGAAAAGTTCCGTTCAAGCACGCCATCGCATGCATCGCGCACGGGCGATCCCCGGGCACATTAATTGCCGTCTTTGTGACCGCGTTGCGTTTAAGCAAGAGACTTGAGAAAATTTCACGATCGATACCCGCGAAACGCGCATCGCCCCCGAGAAGCGAACGGAAGATCCCCCCCCCCCCCCCCTCTCTCTCTCTCTCTCTTTCTCTCTCCAATTACACGGTCCCGCGCGGCGCGTAAAAAACGGCACGAAAAGTGCCGGGGCGATTTAAGCGTCGCGCTCAATCTGACGCGGCGGATACGCCGTCGCGTCTTATCAATAATCGATTCGCAGCACTCAGGCGAGTATTAAATCGCTGGTTGGATCGCGCACGGTTATGCTACACGCGTAATCACATATTGCTGACGCAATTAATAGAGATACTTTGTCGGCGAGTCACGCGAGATTCGCTGTTAGAGAGGTAATTAAGTCAAACCTCGACCCGTATTGAGAACCGTGCCAGCTGCGGTACGGATCGTAATCCTCGATGATCGACGGCTCCTTCTCGATAATGTCGGTCCGGGTGCAACTGCAGGTCATCGCCGAACACAGGAATATGTTGATAATGAGCATGATGAGGAATAATATGCCGAGCGCCACCGCGAGCCACAGGAGCCACAGCGGGTGCACGCTGCCGTCATCGTGCAGTGTTTGTACAACTGCGAATGCAGAAACTCTCTGTGTAACTCTCGCATTTACGGTAATTGCGCGTGTACCCGCGCATTTACATACGCGGCGTACCGCGAAAACGGAAATACCGTCAATTACGAGATTCAATTGCGGCATGCGGAGCTTCGATTTCTCTTCGCGGCGCGTCGTGCGATCGAAGGAGAAACGTTTCGCGCAAGCGGAGGATTCAACGAGGCCGGATCGGGGACTCCGGACGGAATACGCGCTGGTTCTCCCGCCGGCGATAAACGCTTCGCTCGGACAATACCGACGGATTCGCGAGGATTCATTAATTTCATCGCCGTGAAATCGCCACCGTCGTTTCTCATTTGACGGCGGCGCGTGATTTAATTTAACGGCGCGTCTAACGACGTGAAGAAAGTGTTGCGGTTTCGCGTGCGCGGAGACTTAATATAATTAATTCGGCCGCGTGTGCGAGTCCCCGAAGACGTCGCCGAAGGTCGGGGTATTGAAAATTATAGCGTGCACGTCGCGCAGCGGCTCGACTAGGGAAAAGTCGCAGCACGAAGCGCGATAAGCGGAGTAAGATCACTTATGTCAGCCAGAGTACACATTATAATTTGACGACAGCCCCGCGGATAGCTTGCGTGTCGAAGCGACATCCAAATGCAGGTCAGGATGACGAAGTGGGACGACGAGGCAACCATGTTGCGACGCGCGGGAGAAGAAGACGTAAATGGGATACGCAGAACAGAAGCAACAAGGGGATCGAAGAAGCTCGCACGCATTCTCGACGTGGCTCTATACTTTTCGTGTCACGACAGCATGTCAAAACTATAGCGTATCGCCACGAGCTTCTTCCGTCGTAACATCCAATCCGATCGCTCTCATTGATCTCTTTATCGAGCCACGATCCTCGCTTACGTTCATTAAACAGGCTCCTGCGAGTAGAACGGAGAGAAAGACCGACGATTTTTATTCGACGACTCGGGACTCGGTCAAGATTAGTAACGGCGGCTTTCCATTTAATGACACAAGTCGACACACGGAAAAAAAGATTCGGTAGGTAATACCTACCAAGCCTGAGTTACCAAGTGGTTTGGTGAAATACACTCAGGGAATTGTTTTGCTGGCCCAGCTAGAATTCTAAATGTCACTGGGTAAAATGTATCGCTGTTTTCTACCACTGTGTTCTAGAAAATTGTCTGTGGTATAATTTACAGCAGCAGCATTCTAGCAATGTGTATAGGAAAATTTAGATCTCGTCACTAATTTTTCAAAAGTGCGACCGGCCTTAATCTGGATATGTTTTACAGAGAGGCTTTCCCGCTAAATTAGACAAATAGTTCAGATAAAAATTCTCCGTCGCCTATGATTCAATGCAACGCAAGCATCATTTTGTCTTTGTTCTATATTCAATGAGTAGCAAAGATAGGATGATGCTTGTATCGACTGTGAGTCGTTAAATGGAAAGTACTCAGTGTGGTGTTGGTAACGATGATGATGTATGCTTAACGGTAACAATTAATTAGGTAGAGCGCGATACATACGTACCTCGTTGTTCGCCCGGCTTGAGAACAAAAACGCTCGTCCCAGCGAGCAGCACTCCCTCTTCGCCACTAACACTCTGTCCGTTAGTGGAGGAGCCACCCTTTATCAGCTCCTCTTTGTCTCCTTCGCAAATGGGAGTGCCACAGCTTCCTGAGTATAAAAATTTGCACTTTGTTATACCGCAGACGAGAAAAGTTACGATCGAATTTCTTCACGCTACCCCGCCTGAGTCGTAGTCGCATCAATTTTCGCGCCGTTCCGCGAGAAAGGTGGTTGACACAATTTGCGAGAAAATAAAAAAAGTAGAAATCGAATTAGAGAGAGAAGAAAGGTAACGTTGGTAAAATGTTCTCTAGCAACCTATGGATAATTTTTTTATTTATTATCACGTTGATGAGGAATATTTCTATCCTGGTAGGATTGTTTCGTTTTCTCTTCTTTTTTCACGTGAAAAAATGTCGCTCGGACGAGAACAGTTACGTACCGCGGCGACAACGCGTAACGACGAACCGCAAAAGTTGAATGGCATTTTATAACCTACTTTGTAACGGGATGCTAATGGGAAATCATTCACCGGATCAGTTTACCTCTGCATACGGCGATGTCGCATTGGAAATGCACCTCTGAACTGTCGGAAAACCGGAACATTGAGAACAATGTGGCATCCGCCATGCCGGTGCTCCGATCGTATATGAATTTCGTCATCACTCGTGCCTTCACAGGACAGCTTTGCGATAAAAAAAAAAAAGTCACAATTAGAGCAGATTATTCTTGGCTTTGCGATAATATTAATAATACGCGTTGTTTCCGTACATCTTGGTAATAATAATAGAATTAAAATTAATTTAAACTTCTCCGCACGTGCCATCTGCGGAGTTCTAAAGCCGCTTTGACAGAAGAGGAAACTTATAAAGAGTAAACGGAGAAGCCTGAGTTCTCGTTTCGCGCAATAAAGAACTTGGCAGTAACTGAAGTTTTAATGAAAATACTGCTCGCTCTGCTCGATCTGGGCTTTTCAACCAATCCACCTTATTGTTGCGAAGAAAAGATTGTTCGCTTCAACATCTATCCATTATATCACACACAATAGAGAAGTTACGATACCATGAAAATATCGGTGCTAATCTTGAAACGGATATTTAATCAAAAGTATTGATATCATTAGTGATAGCAGTATCAAAACAAAAATTTTGATATCGAAACTTGAAGAAAACCTTAAAATCAAATTAAAATTAAAGGAGATATAAAAATCAGAGAAGTGTTTGTTTTGCAAATTACTTTTAAGGCTCTTATACTTACGATCATCATCTATATGATAATCTTATAAAGATACTTTTGACTAGTTAAACTTTCTACGGTTAGTGATCTGAAAACCTTTAGAAGGATGTGTTGAGGCTCATTAGCAGAGCGATAAAATATTTATAGGATCAGCGAAAGTATTGAATTACTTAACAAGCAATCTTAATCTGTATTACTACGTAATATATGAAGAGATTATTGCTCGGCTTACCCTTTATCATCTATAAGCGGCACGCTGGAGTTGAGCTTGTTGAACGCGACGCAATTTTTCACTCGGATCCCGTACATTCCTGCAAATTGAATGTTCAACGCAACAGTTCCTCTCGAACGGAAGGATCTCACGGAGGAACGGCTAACGGACTAGTCCATATCGACTGAACGTAAACGCGGACGATGGAATGGGGTATAAAATACGAACCGTCTGGGCGTGAAATCTCGGCACGCATCGTATAGTTGTGACCGTATACAGCTTCTTGCACTCGGACGCCTCCGTCCAAGAGGCGCAGGGAAACCAGCGAAGTTTCATTTCTATGCAAAAACCGATGTCTCGTGAGCATGCACTTCTTCGCGCGTCCCGTAGTACATTTTGTTATTATCGGCCGTGACGCAAGTTCGCTCGCCCGCTCGTCCGCCTGCTCGATCGGTCGATCGATCGATCGGAGCAGTTGTTGCGATCGAATGATTAAGCGCACAGTGGAGGAAAAAAATGTCAACGAGTCGATATGTATGACGTCGCGCGTGTGACGAGAAAATTACGCGAACCACACAGAGTCATGTGCTGACTTTCAAACCGCTTCTTCGACTTCGAAAAAACAAGACAAGATATATTCAAAAGGTACCGCGACCCCGAAGGTAATTATTATTTGCCGGGCCTCTCGCCCGACGACAGTCGCATACTAATTGTTGGCCGCATTTTGCGCCGCGGAATAAGAAGATGACTTGCGGTAAACCGCGGCGTCGCGGGCATGTTAATTATCGATTTGCCGCTCCATTTGTCTAATTCTCGGACGTCCGAATGAAATTTTATCGTCCATCGCGCGCGATCGGTCGTCTTCTGGAAAGCGTTTTGCTGAAATATGAGTAAAACGCGATGTCGGGGCATAGATCTTGACGCGTCTAAAGTTACTCGCGATTTTTAACCGGTCGGAACGCCGTGGAGGACGCTTGACAATTAGTAAACTGTCAGTCGCATCTGGCACTTTGAATCGAGGAAACGTCTCGCGGTATTAGCTTGATTGCGCGCTTAAATATCGCGCCGTGTTCAAGCATCCTCATTTATCAACGGCGGCATTAAGACATCGCCGTAATATCGGCGCCTCTCGCGAAAGTATCCAATTGTATCTCGATGCACGGTATTCGGTATCCTTCGTGCGAGCGTATCGGCTAAATAATAAGCCGAGGTATCTCCGTGCGCGAGCGGAAATCTACGGGCTGAGTAGGTATCGAACGGCAAATACATCAACGACCGATTAGAAAACGCGCAGCCGCTAATGACCGATTAAAAGCCACGCCAGTGGTATTTCCCGTTTAGATAATGCTGTTCGCGCGTGTCAAACCGCTGCCGCGAGTCACTTGTATCTCCCGCACGTTTGGCAGAATCTACCGCGTGGCGATTATTCACGATACCACCGCGGAGAGTCCATAAATAAGGCGAGAGGACTGAGTGCTGCGGCGCAGTTCGTCACGCTACTCGACGACCGCCGTGTTGATGAAAATCTCACCCACCCGGTATCTGACGAGTCGGCGAACAAGTGCGAACATTCGAGGAAGAAAGTAGATCATTTATCACGAATCGCCAATTTCATTGCTCCAAGGCCTTCAACAGAGTACGTTTAGTCATAAAAAGGCAACATTGTTTTTTTTTTACCGAGTTTCGCATACGCATATCGTATCCGATAGGAAAACATATCTCCTGAGAATTATTAAAAAAACCAATTTCGACACGTGATCACGTTCTGAAAGTTAAGGGGATGCCGAAGTCGATAACAGAGACTGTTCACAAAATGTTATGTTACATAAACACCGACACGATCACGCTACTCTTTTTATATTTCTTATATATGTAAAGGTCTTACATAAATGTTAGTGCGGTAAATATGAATAAAATGAAAGTGCGCTTATTTCATCTAATGATATCTAACGAAGAATCTGTAATCAAGATATAAAAAAATTTGTCTGCAAAGTTTTCACATTTTTTTAGGCTTTTATGTCCGATTGCCAAGAAAAGTACAGAAACGATCTTCGAAATTTTTCTCACCGGAGCAAACATACTCGATACAAGGTGTACAACTTTTGTCTTAAGTAAATGTATATTCTATTCGACGGGTTGAGATTTCAGTCTTGAAATTTTTAATCGCTTTCACATACTGGACAATGCTCCAATTCATTTTCGCGCGTACTTTCGCTATGTGAAACTATGTAAAATCATTTTTGCAATTTTGTGCAATAAAACGTAAACGTCTGCAGAAAAAATCAGTATTCCACCGGCAAAGTTTTCAAGTATAGCATCCCCTTGACAAAAAAGTGTTGCGACCTCTTTATGACCCTACCGCAAAACCAGATGATTTTTTATTGCTAATTATTCCCCGTGTAACTCACTTGGCATTCTTGAAGCCCGCCTTGCCGCACGTGATGACGTAGAACTTGTCGTCCGCCAATTCCAGGGTCTTGTGTATCCTAACAGCGATGGGAATGGAGCGTTCTTCCGTGTGCTGTAAAGTCACCACGCTTACATACGGAGAACGATAAAACGTCACGCACGGATATATTCGCCGAGCCGCTCGCTGCGTCTGAATGATTTCGTTCGTTTCCGTCTGAAATAAATCTCGACTCGCGCGAGTGTAGCGAAAGAAGCCACGGCGAAGTTTGCGGGAATTTTTCGCGGATTCCAGCTCAATGGAGATTTTCTCCGGGAGAGCTCTCCGGGTCTCTCTCCGCGCCGTGCGCGCGTTATACTCGCGGAACAAATATCCCCGCGGAAAGAGAAGTATTCAAATGCAAATCGTAATTTCCGCGTGTATGATGGATTCCCACGTTATCCTCGCGAGGGACGGTGGCGTGGTTGCCGGCTACGCTGTGAATTAGCATACTCAACAATCTCAAAACAATTAATTGTCTGAACCTTTGCCCGTAAACAGACGCGGATAGTAATTCTATTACGTCACCGTCGAAGCGTATGAAGCGCAAACGCGCCTTAAGGTAGGCGCGGATAATTGCAAAATTTCTCTCCGCGAATTTTTGTTATAATTTTCGCGCGAGGATGCAATTAGTCCCAATCGGTCGCTCCCTACCCCCCTTTCGATTTACTCTAATCCTCAAGGTAGGTTCATAAAGAATACAGTACGATAATTATAGTTTCATAATTAAATAAAATTTCGACACGTCTTTCGAGAAATAAGAGCCAAGCCGCCGTGGAATACAAGGAGCAAAGAATAAGATACAAAAAAACTTCACGACTGTCAGCCGATATTTCATAAGAAGAATACGCTGATTTTAAATGAAACTATCGAAACGTCTGTTGTGCCCGAAAGACTTTGATATTTTCGGAAAATAATCCATACAGATAACCTCATCGGGGTCTCAATTAATATAATTATTCGAATTCCCGCGACAGTCATGTCCTTGCGAAATTCGCAAGGAGTGCTCCCGATACAATGTTTCAGTCCCCGTAGCCGACGGCAACTCTCTCTCTCTCTCTCGCACGCGCGCGCGATTCCGTCGCCCTCGGCGTATCGCGCAGATTTCCATAATCACGGACTCACGTTGTTCACGAGAACTCCGCAGTACTCGGGACTGTCGTTGGCCGCGAATAGGTTGATGCCCAAGGTGGCGTGCGTGGAGCCATTGCCGGAGACCATGCATTGCGGGGTCCGATGGTCCCGGGCGTGGACCGCGCCCACGAAACTCTGGTTGAGGTTGACGCGGATCGTCATGTGGCCGCCTTTGCACGTCGCCGTCACCGTCGGCTGGAACTCCGTGTCTAATAATTGTCCGGCGACCTGCAATTGGAAAACGGGCCTGTCATCAGGGGGCTCACGGAGCGCGAACGACGCGACCAATTATCGCATTCTAGAGCGAAATGCGCTCTTCGACACGGCCGAGTGGAATTTCCTCGGCGCGGTGCTACGCGTTCCCGCGTCCGGGCGTTGACGATTCGGCGAGCGGCGATTCGAGAGACGCGCGCCTTCGTAAATATTTAAATCAGGGTCAGTGTTGCGCCAACAGCGCCGGTTAACTAACTCCGGCCGGCGATTGCCCGTCCCATTCCGGATCGCGGCCGTAACTATAATGCCGATTGGGAAAGACGGTCTCTCTCTCTCTCTCTCTCTCTCTTTCTTTCTCCCGGGTCCGGGGAACTAACTAGGGTCTTAATGTGTCAACCCGCGCGTAAAAATTTATTGCACACCGACGAACCTCGGCCGGCCGCTGCACGCTTCCAGTTACGGAGCTGGAACCCGTCGCGGTATTTGCCTGCGTCATTTTTACCGTCGAGAAAATTCCAAGTCGAGACACTCCGGCCAACCCCCCCTTAAACTACGCGAACTCTCGTCTTTTTTGCGGAAATCGCAAAAATACGCGAAATTCCCCCGGCTTACCGCGCGAGACGCTATATACCGGAGCGCGAAACGAGGCGAGTGTCTGTATTCTTTGTAACGCCAGCGGGTATACGCTATTTCGCGTGATATCGGTCTGCGCGACTCGGAGCGATCTCCACCCCCGTCAGTATCCCGCTAAGGAGCTACTCGACGAACGCAGGCCAATGATATTTCCTCGAGCCGGATCACCGACTTAATGTACGAGTAAACTTGGACCGGTCTGGGCGGTAGCTATCGGCCCACGCTAACTTTCAATTTCATGCGGCCGGGACCGCTCCGTAACGTAGATAACGCGCATTTGTGCTGTCAAGAACGCGCGATGCGACGCTTACCCATGACACGGTCCCGATATTAATCTCGAACTGATGCGCATCGCTCGGTGGATGTAGATACGATTGTCCCGATAATGCAATCAAAGCGCTATATCGGTATCATCGGGATTTATTTTTACGTTAAAGCGGCGTCGACTACGCGTCGCATGTATCTCGGAATTGCCGAGCGGCCGTTTAATCGCCGATATCGACGAACGGAAAAATATGCATCGATGGTTACGGGTATTCGATATTGAATATTGGAAATTAAACATGAAAATTAATTTTAGCTCGCATGAAGACTTCCAAGTTAAAAATTTAAGAAATTGCTTGATATGTGGACGATTTAAAATCCACATAGAGGAAAGAATTATTTTACTGCTGAGAAAGGCGATTATTCAATTTAGGACAATTTTAGGAAAGTTCGTTATCATCTCAAAAGAAGAATTTATTGGCATTTCAAGAAGCTTTATCGAAAAGTTAAATTCGATTAATTTGAATAAGTAAAATGAAGTTTGTTTTAATTTGATATTCTTGATTGAAATGCTAAATTGATCTTCAGCAAAGTATATATTTTTTTTCTTGATAATAGTTTTAAAATATATTCATCACAATTTTAGAGAAGCTCGTTGCCACGCGCGTGATTCAAAAGAAGAATTTATTCTCCATTCAAGAATATTGTTAACTTTACCGAGGAAAAGTTAAATTCAGTTAACTTGAACGACCAGACAAAAAAGGGTTTGCTTTAATTTAATATTTTTAATATTCAAACACTGAACTTATAATAAGTAATAACTTGAGAGCGGTTTTTCTTAATTTACGTATCAGCGATGATCTTTCGTTTAACAAACATTTTAAATTTGCTCCAACGTCGGTGTAAATCCCACGTTGGTAATCTGCCAAAACCGATACCAATTAGCATTCGGTATCTCTGGCGACAGGGTCCAGAGCCCATGCCAGACAAAGGTTCGCACGTAGGCGTTCGGCAAGGACACGAGTCCTAAATGCTCCGACGTTATTCGAGGAACAGAGGATCGCGCGGCAGTCGTTAGTCTTTCGTACGCGGGGCGAACTGCGCCCGAGCCGCAGAAAGGCAGCTTAGCGGTCCTCGATTAGTGGCGGACGCTTTGTCTACGTGTGCGATGACAGGTATACGATAGCGGACAAGGAGAATCGTGGTCGCCGTTGGGCAAGGCCTTGCGCGAGGAGCCGCATCCGGCGGTCCGCGCGACGTATGACATTATGCGCGTATAATTTAATAGCGCTCGTTGTTGCTCTCGAACGGCGCTCGTTCATCCGAAGGAAATTCCTACGACTGTTAGGCGGTGTCTCGAAGCGCGTAGCGTTTCCGTGGCGAAGGGATTTTTCGATTCGACTGAGATCATGTACGGCTCTCGTACGAGCGAATGTGGAAGACTGGTACGACCGTATATCGAACGTGACCGGGCGTGACTTGTCGTTACGTAGGATTATCGTGCGAAGAATTTCTCTGCCGATTACGCGGCGCGCTTTATTTATAAATATCCATCGCTAATTTAGCCCGAAATAAAAGGAAAAGAATATCGCGGTTATTGATTCGAAAATGTCGAATCATCAGATTTGACTCATGTCGTCGTTTAAACCAGGAAGACAGTCGTAGAGGATGCAATATGGTGTTCCAAACAAAGCCTGACTCCGATATTCACATTGATATTAATAAGCTAACGCGAGAGCAACAATAGCTCGCTGTACGATCGAAACGCGCGACACGCACGTAGGGCTCTCGCGGCTTGCTATCGCGTGACACCCGATTGGTAAAACGCGCGTATGAATGCACGTTGGAACTTCCTGCAGTATCCATATCATGCGCGATAAACACTCGCTCAATAGCGAATAAATAATTTGGCGCAGTAATGTGCATTATGCGCGCTTGTGTAAAATTGGAGTCGCGCCGCAGCGCGATAGCACGCCGCCGCGTTCGGCGCGGAAGCATCAGTTCCGCTCATTAAGCCCTTATCCTGCCCCGTACGAAGGATTCCATTACAAATGTCATGTGCCGCGCTAGGTTGCACGGTATTATCCGTTCAATGATCAAACGGGCACCTTCGTCAACTCCGGGGAAACATGCGGAGTAACCTTCGCGTCATTTGACATCGTCCTCGCGCCGCGGTCTTTCATAAAACCGCTCACATGCTGAGCGTGAATGGATAAGCTGAAAATAACGCGCACGGTGACATCACGTAATCGCAACGCAAACACAATAGGGAGATATATTAGTTGCTCGCGCTGCTGGCGAGCCCGGCCGATAAATGCACGCGCGCCGAACCCGCGGGAAACTAGTCCGGATAAAAACCGGCCGGGGACGTCGAAACGCCGCGAAGAATGCAAATGTCGCCGGCTCCCGAATTCCCGTGTAAATTTACAATCGCTTTTGGATATGTTTCAGGAACAACAAAAATTACGCTCTACACGGGAGGATTTTAATTCGGGAATTTTTCGTGCAAATTAGTGCGTCGTTTCTTGCATTTTAAGGTAATAGTAGCATAAAATGAATTTTTTTTTTAATTCGTTGAAACTTGCACCATATATAGGTTTGAATACGACTTAATTATTGACGCAATTAAAAATAAGTAGTATATCCGGAAGCTGAGATATTCTCAAAGGGTAAAGAGAATATATTTTGTACGTATTCCTTAACACGTTCATTGCCAAGCTGAAAATTGGAATTTCGTATTTTTTTAATTTTTTTATTTAGTTTTTATTGTGCTCAAAATAAGTTAATATATTATTTATATGCTTTTATTATTATGTACATAGGATTTATGTACTCTAAATATCTATTACGCGATAACGCGTGATCGGCCGTTTGGTGAGAACTCGCATCACGTGATATCGCGTGATTGGCAATGAACGTGTTAATATCCTATTTTTTAAAATTAATATCTTATTAAAATTAATTAATTAATTAATTTCCTTTTTTAATTAATATCTTATTTTTAACTTCTATTTTCAATTTTCTCTAAATCGCATTTAGGATTTTAATGAAAAATTTACTTTAATATTAAGGACTAATATATAGACATTACATAGAAATTTCAGAATTAATGACTATTTTGTTTCGAAAATATTACGGTGTAAAATTCATAATTTATAATAATACTCGAAATACATATATAGAGTCGACGTTTTAAGCTTATTTAGTTCTACATTCAGTCTGCAAATGAAGAAAACGGAAATAACTTCTCATTTGCAGCATTAAAGGAGCACAATAGAAGAACACGGCACTTGAATACGCCACTGAAAATACGGCCTTAATAGGTACGACACATCTTGAAAATTATATTTTAAACCAGATTATATTTCTTTCTATTAAACCCACGAATTCATCTCCATCTTCGCATCAACGGCCCCATCTGTTTCTTCATCGCGAAAATCAAGAATGTCCCGAGTTAAACGCTGCGACGTAAAACTGCGCGTTTTGCTCGCCGCGTTATTGTATTCCGCGAGTGTCCGGAACGTAATAACGCTTTTAAAATGCGCCGAACGACATCAACGACGGCCCCGATCGCGATAAGTGTGGTTATACAACGCGAACAACTCCGAGGACGCGGGAACTCGTTTGGAACAACAATTGCGATCGGGCCGGCAATTAATAATTCGCCGGGAGGGTCGAACGCGCGCGCGCGCGCACGCGCGCGAGCGAGCGCTATCGCGTATCGACGCGGCGCGCGCAATAAATTGATAACTTTTTCGTCGTGGCTTTAATGCACGAGCGCAAAAATTCACGCGTGGATAACGGCAATGCATCAAGATTTAATCCCGCCGCTCTCGTGGCCGCAATGTTTCAACGCATTCCGAGCGCACACACCCAGTCCCGGGTGCGCGAACCGCAGAAACAGGAACAGCAGGATCGTTGCTCTTTCTCTTTCTCCCCTCTCCTCTCTTTCTTTCTCTCTCTCTCTCCTTCTCTCTCTCTCTCTCTCTTACTCTCTTTCTCTTTCTGTCGGATTGTCGATCGGGGACTTTCGGCTGTCGGCGACGTGTCTTTCGATAAATAAGGACCAAGCTGCCGTGGGATACGAGGGGCAAAGAATAAGATATAAAGAACGTCGT